AGAGGCAAGTTCGTAACCCGAGGTAAATTTTTTCTGCCAAAGCTGGTCGTAACCCGAAATGTTCGCTAGTAGAGGCGTTCGTATCCCGAGGTACCACTGTATCTTACTATGAAATGTTCAGGATAGCTGCAGTAGGCTTTCTGGATTTATTTATTTATAATAGGGATGTAGTATTTTTCAAGAAGATAAAGATTCCTTCAAGTTTCACTTATTTCTTGGTGACTTCATGGACACAACTGTATATATACATGATTAAAATGAATCTCTTGACATCTACATTTAGGGTGTAGACTGAAATGTAATCATTTGTTTTTCTTATTCCCAAAAGAACCAAATAGTAACTAGTGAAATGAGAGACCGGGTGGTGGTGGTAGAGCTGGAGAACTGCTGTGCAGCCAAAGCACTATGAAAGTATGAAACATTTAGTGTACGCTTACACATTATGGGGAATATCTGAGTTTTTAGATATGGATGACATCCAAATAACAGTGTAGTAGATGATATGGAGTACCTGGTGGCGGGAAATTTTTTTTGCCCACCTCCCACATCATTTCTGCCAACTATGCTGCTTCCCAGACACAGCTGGCTGGCAGAAAATTGAAAAGTGGATGGTAGTAGCTCTGCAAGATCTACCCTTCCTCCCTGTTTGGCACATTTCAATCAGAAATTGCTCCCCCTGCTGATTTATTGTTCCTTGGCAGTGACCTCTGTTTGAAGATGTGAGTCTGTTTAGCTTCACTCTACCAATAGATCCTTTCCTCTGTTTCTTGTTGTAGTCCATCAGAACTGCATCTAAACTTGATGCCTGTGGAACCACTATCATATCCAACACAGCTTTTCAGATTGCCGTCAGTTGAGAAGAACGGGGGAAACCAATTACAGTCACATGCATTTTCCTCTCCCATCAGGTCATGGCATCTGAAGGTGGCATCTATTTTGCCTGGGAGCCTGACTAATTAACAAAATGACTAGCCACACAGTTGATAGTGAATATATGCAATGGATGTTACGGCAGTTTACCCCGGCTTGGTGCATCATTCCCAACCAGCATGGCAAACAATCTCTAAAGGGTATATTTAGTATGTTGTTAAGTATGGCTGAGTTATGGTGTCTTTTATGATTTCACTTCATTCTTCCTAGACTATCCGAGAAGTGACTGGCTATGTTTTGATCGCCATGAATGTCTTCACTTACCTGCCATTGCAGAACCTCCGCATGATACGTGGGACCCAGTACTACGAGGACAAGTATGCCCTCTATGTGGTCCTCAACTATGAAAAAAATGTCACACATGCTCTACACCAGATGGGTTTCAATCAACTCACGGGTAAGATGATGATGGAGTTTGGGCTCCAGGCAAACCAGACAATGTTCCTTTACATGTGAAACCACCACCAGTTAGTTGGAACAACTTATAGCGTTATGCAGGCTTGCTGAAAATCAGTGGTGTATATACAGTCAAAGTAAGGGTGGTAGTTGCTTCGCGACCCCCAAGCACAAGGGTCACCAGCCAAGCATTTGTCTAGAGTGGCATGATGGGTGGGAGCCAAGTGGCAAGTGGGAGCAGGCAACATGTAAGTGGGGTGACCTCTATGTGGCAGCAAAGTGTTAAAGAAAACTCTAACTCTTTGCTACTATCTAGTGGTCTTTTGGATTTTTGCAGCCCTGATCAGACAGCCCTAGTACTGATGCAACTTGCTGGCACTGCCCCACCCCATGGAGAGTGTCCTGAACTAACACTGTTGCTGTTCCTGCCTAAGAGCAGATTGTATGCACAAGCCCAGGGCCTTAGAACAAGTGTAGCCAGTAGCTCTTTAAGTAATAGCTGATGTTGGGATGCCATCTGAGAGGTTTGTCTTGAGAGTGCTTGAGAGGGGACCCAGAATGGGCTACTTCCTTTCCTGATGAAAATGATTCCCAGATCAGAAGGAAGGAACATGTGGAGGGCACTGTGCTCTCCAATATTCTGAACACATGGTACAAGTCAATGTTATGAGGAGAAGCCTTCAGTCGGTAAATAGAGTTAGTAAGAAGGAAGAGGAAAAGGATGAGGAAAAAGCAAAGGGGTCACACTGCAGCCCATCTTTTGAGCTTCCTATTTCCCATGAAGGTAGCCAAGAGTTGCCTGAAATAGCCTTCTAGGATATTTGTTCCCAACAGCTTAAATTCAGAGGCTCCCCACTTCTGGACCTGGAGATCTAGCATAGCCACCATGACTATCAACAAATTTGTCTGATTACCTTTTAAATGGAAAGCCACCATACTCTCTGATAACAGTATGTTTAATCAATTCTGCATTGTGTGAGGAGGTCTGTCTAATTGTGTGACCCTGAATACTAATATTATGAGAGGAAGAGAAAAAGGGGTTCCCTCTACTTTATATAAACCATCACGTTTTAGAATGAAAAGTATTGTTTGGAAAATATCCCTGGTTTTGCCAAATGCAGAACCAGGAGTCATTTAGATAAAGGGAGTTGTTGTGAGATAAAGAGAAGCCTACAATTTGTCAGGATTAAAATTCCATTTGCCTCTGATACCTTGATGGAAGCCATCAACAGGTAAGTAGTTGCTAGGCTTGTGACTATACAAGATGTGTACGACAAGACACATGGATCTTAAAAGTACATGGCGAGAAGATGTATAGATTATATGTTATTCAGCAGGTAACAGAAGCCCTGTATTATAGTGGTTAGATTTGTACTGTGAAGAAGATAATGCAGCATAGTGGATAAGGTTAGACATGAAACAACAGGTACAAGTTTGGTTTTCTATTCAGTCATGAGGTTCAGTGGTGGTTGGGAGTTGGTTTTCTTTTGAACTGAATTTTTATGAGGCTCACGTGAAATAATCCTGTGAACACCTTCAGGAGGGATGAAACTTGAAAAAGAAACCTAAAAATAAGAGCTTCAGGACCAAATTATGGCCACAAAAGCAAATTTAAGGAACTAGTTTCAAAATAGCTTCCTCGTTATTGTAATTTGTGAAGTGAATTCCTGAAGATTCAAAAGGCACAAACCACTTCAGGTTGTTAAAGCAGAGTTTGAGAATAATCTCTCCCTTCTCCTAGCACTCCACCAACTTGGGCTAATTCTTAGGAGGGGCATTATAATAGCACTATATATTTACTGCTGTGAAAACGTTTTAGATTGTTCCCCCCCCCCCAGAGAACTCTAGTAGAAGTCCTACTTTCATAATGAGAGCTTAGCTCTCAGAGCACCTCGCTGCAGTTCATAGGGACTGTTGACAGAAACTGTAATAATTACCCAATATGAATGTGTGTGTAGACAAGCTCTTACTTGTGACTTTTGAGCCCTTACCTTAGCATTTTTTGCTATCCTCATGATGATTGCATTTATCGGGAAGAGGGACTGAAGGCTGAAAGGAAGTGTAATCAGATCCACACAGATTGCATCAATAGCACAACAGACAGCAGGGAAGAAGTGAGCTCAGATCTGTGGGATCTGCTTGGCTTTCCTTTTCATTAAAATTCTTCATATATGGAAGGGAAGCTACATTGAACTCTCCTACCATAGAAAACTCCACTCTGGAGTTACCTGTTCCCCCTCCTCTGACCTTCATAATTTCAGCAATATACTTTTGAGATGGGATCATTCTGCTGTTGCTATTGTAGTAAATAGTTGGATGTCAGAAATTACTGACTTTTAACTCAACCAGTAATCTACCAGTAAATTTCCCTTCTGCCTATTCCAGATACTCAGGAAGGAGTTTGAACTGTGTAGCTTTAAAAAAAATTAATAGTACATGTACTTTGACCTGTAATGAAACCTGCTAAGGGTAGAAATAGTGTACATAAAACCCATTCTCAAACCAAGGCAGTGATGGGACTTAGTGGCCTCCTAGATGGTTAGACTACAGTCTCCATAAACCAGACTGAACAATGGTCAGGAACAACAGAATTGTCATTCAGCAACATCTGAAGGGCAACACATTCCTCATTTTTTATTCGTAATATTTATTTATTCTCTGTTCTTCAGTAGCAAATTTCAGTCATTGCTTAATTGACTAAAGTAGAACTTCAGTGGCTGGTTTCTACATTGAACAATGACGTGATCATCCTGAAGCTGTTGAGCAGGAGCTTCTAGAAGTCATCTTTGCTATGTTCATTTGTTAGTTTTTGAATAGTACCTGCCCTGCAAAATATTTAAATTGCCATTTTCCCAACCATTCTCCAAACCAATTTTCTAGCCCTCAGAAAAGCTGTGCATCTTGAAATATAGTTGATAAGTTTGTTGGTAAACACTTCCATTTTGAAAACTAGATTAGGGCTCTGATGGGGAATTCTTTAATTCAACCGCAGCTCAGATTATTTCCCCATGACTCCCATATAACATTTTCAGTTAAGAAAAAAACACCATTACAAAAGACATGTTTAAGTGCATATGCAGTTGGCATAATGTAGTCTTTTTGGTGGTGATAGAACTTAAACTTTATAATATAGTATTCCAAATTATATATTATGGGCTATAAGGCACCATCTCAGATGAAACCAATTAGCCACCCTGTCAACTCTGGCTGGTACAGCTTTTTCAGTCCCAACTCCAATATTGGGAAATTTAAAATCAAAGGTGTAAGAGAAAACTCAGGAGAATAGAAAGAAAAACATAGACTCTTCATTAAGGTACATAAGATAAGGTGAAAGGGTTTTGTTTTGTTGTTGTGTTGTTCTGGGCCAGCTTCCATTGGTGTGGCTTTGTTGCAACACAGAGTAGTTTGTGACAGTGGTGGGAGTATTTAGCACGGCATGGAATGGACTCCTCTGTAATTAATTTGTGGCTTTGCCTGTGTTTTCTTATAAAGCATCCTCGGCACTGTCAGAGTTAGGAAACAGGGCTGGGTGTTCTGTCTTCAGATCATAATTCTGAGATAGCTTTATGGATGTTGTTTATTGGGATGTTCTACCGTGTTTAAGGAGGGAGCACCATGTCCTCTGTGCAAGATAACTTGAGTACTTGCCCCAAAGCAGTGTTGTCCAAACTTGGACACTTTAAGATGAGTGGACTTCAACTCCCAGAATTCAACTCCCAGAACAAGCAAGCATGGCTGGCTGGGGAATTCTGGGAGTTGAAGTCCACTCATCTTAAAATGGCCAAGTTTGGACAACACTGCCCCAAAGGAATTCAAACTCAGTCAAGAAAGTTGCAAGAAACTCTGTTTGTACAGAACTGTAGACTCCGCAGATGGCTGAATTAAAACAGCTTTCAGTATTACAACTGGAATGGGACAAAATATTTTATATATGTTTATATTTTATATAAAACATATAATATATTACACACACATATATTATGTATATGCTTATATTTATATATATTTTATATAAAATCTATTTATATATATTTTTATGTTCCTCCAGCACAATCCATAAAAGCCAATGAGGCCAATTTTTGACAGCTCTTAATACAGGGATGATTTCACGCCAAGGAGAGAAAACAAACTTGTGTATCTCTTCTCAGCCACTGAGTCAGGTGTTTTAAGTGGCAGCCTACACCCCTGTTCCTCCTATTACTGTCTCTCTGAACTTCTGATTATATCTGAAATCAGTTCTCTGATTTGGAGGTTTGTAAGTGAAAGTCCAATCCACGGAAAGAATTTATGGGTCCACTTAGACGATAAGCCTTCAGGATTTAACTTAATTGTCTCTTTATCAGTTCCAAGAAACAGCTTTATCAGCCAGTCATATTTTGCTGTCTTCTAGCTGGTCAGACCTTAAATTGTACAACAGGGAGAGGCTAATAAACAATAAGAGTAGAGGCCTGGTTCATGGTCAAATTCATACACAGTGGCGTACCTGGAATTCACTGATGAAATAGCTAGATTCGACTCTATAATTTGGGGACAAAGCTTTCAGGAAAACATATACCAACTACTTACTGTAGCTGAGTGATACAGTGCCCCTGCTTGTCTAACTATGATGAAATTGATATTATGCAAGATCTTGGCATTAATTTGCAACATATGGAATCATCAACTATTTTACACAATAAATGCATAACACAATCTGATTAAGCAGATTCTGGGTTCCTAAAAGGAACTTTTTTCTGATTCTTGTCCAGGATTACAGCATGTAGCCACATTAGAAGAAGAAATGTTAGCAGTTGGTAGGTGTTTTGGGGTTTTGCATTGCTTGGGATTTGATAGACTCCTGAGTTTGCTGCAATGTGGAGGTTAAGTTTTAGAAAAGTGGACAGCACATAAGTCTGCAAATCAGTTCTCTGCCCTTTCACAGGCTATAGGATTTGGCGAACTGAGTATTTTCAATGCCTGAAACAAATATGCCTGATACAGCGAGGTTCTTTTGTTTTCCTTGGGGATAAATCAAATGGGAGGAGAACAATAAAAGAAAAGAGAATACTAAGCCCAATTTCATGAATTGTAAAGTATGTATTTGAAAAGCATTTCAGGAGGATTCGGTGTGGGTTTTTTTCTCCAGAAATCATTGCTGCAATATGATATTTGTTCTGTGATTCACTTTCTTAGTGACTAGACAGGGTTACTTTATCCAGATTCTGGAATAAGTGCTGAATAGTTTAGCGGGTTGAAGTTCCAGATCAATCCTTATATTGAAAATGCTTTGTACAAATAATATCCCAAAGATTAATTTATATTTTACACAACTGTCAAAGGTACAGCTTATTTCCAAGTGTCTTCTAGTCAATGTTGTTCTTGATCCCCATGCTAGATTAAAACTTAGTCCTGCACAGGACAAAAACATATCACAGGGCTCTCTCCAAGTTGATCAGCCTTCCATTTCTGGTGCCATCTATGTTCTGAACCTGCACAGATTATGAAAACCATCTTGAGAGCAGAAGGTTTAATTGCCATAGCAGATATTCAGGTAGTAGACTCTCCTGCAGATAAACTCTTTCAGAGGTTAGGAAAGTGAATCCAACTTCTCATCTTTATCCCCAAACAGGCAATTAGCAGAATTGAAGCAAATGTGGATCAGATGATTTTGATAGAGATGTGCTTAAAAGTCCCACAAGGGTTCTTTGGTGCTAATAAATTGGTCCCTATGATTGAGTTCTAATCCAACTCAGCTTTGCCTTCTGTGGATCATAGAAGCTGCTTCTATGTTTGTGTGAAACCTCAGTTTAGATCGGCTACCCATATGGATTAGCAAAGAGTTTTCCAAGTCTGATTTAATGTATCTTTTAGTTAAACCCAGATGACTAGAGCTGCACAAGAGTTTTTGGGATTATGTCAACAGAATTAGAGTAAAGCAGTAAACCTGAAGCAGGTCTGTGCATGTTCTAGATTCCTGCCCCAACCAACCTGTTTGGTTGATGTTGATGTTGTTGTTGTTGAGCTACTGTGGCATTAAGAGACAACACCTGCCTATCTATTTTCCCATCACTTGATCTTTCTGTTGGCTGACAGAACAGCCTTGGCTGGGGAGACACTATGTGTTTTCAGAATAATATGGGTAACATTGCTTATTACATGAAAGTGCCTTTGGGGTTTCATGTCTGTTGCTATTATTTAGAATGTATTTCATGCTATTAACAGTATGCTTGGTAGAATAGTAGAATGCAGAATGTACTGTGTACTTTCTGATTAAAAATTACTAATTTTGGGTCAAATTCTGGTTTACATCAGTGAAGAATATGCTAACACCTGCTACTTAGTCTTACTGCCAACAGGAGTGTCTAAGTTAGCAGAGGGAATTTCATGGCTCTTCCGCTGGGGCTAAACTACAACTCCCAGCAGCTCCAGCCAGCATAGTCAGTTGAGAGGGATGATGGGAGTATTGTTCAGCAATGTTTGATTCAAAGCAAACTCCTGCCAGGATTTGTCTACTGGATATTTATGCTGAGATCACTAGCTTATTTCAAGCCAAGATCCAAAAGCTTGTTAGGAACAAGCTAGAATTCTTAGTCTGCACATTTCAGTAAACATATAACTCATGGAAGTTATCTAGGTTTCTTAGCTATGTCTCCTAGTAGGAGGTGTGATTGAGTAGCACATAGAAAGTTGTTACTGGTTCCTTTGCAAGCCACATTTTAGAAGAAAAGAAATTTATATTGGCAGTGTCAATTAAATGTAAACATTGCTGGCCTTTGCTGATAAATGTTTATCTTTCCCTGTGGCATGTGCATTTTAAGATTATCAAAATATGACAAACTTTAGCAAATAATTTGGCTAATTTCATAGCTGTCTATCTGCAAACTTTAAGGATTCTAGAAGATCCAGAGTATTTTCACACAATAATCAAGTTACTTCATTGGTAATCCAAAGTAATCAGTCACTCAGGTAACCAATCCAAAAATAGGAAATGTAATTGTGGACTCTATTTGGTGTGATGTATTGGCAATCTAGATTTTTATATTTTAAATAGGGCAGTTAGTCAGAGTTGCCTGAGAGAACTTCTGTGCCAGGTAGGAACTAAAGTACATCAATAAATATGAAATATTATACTAGGCCTGCCTACTCCAGAAACTTCCTACTGCAACCATTTTAGACAACAAATATCCATAATCCTTTCTGTACCTAAAGAAACCCTTGGGGCTTCAAACATATATAACGATAGTACCCACCCCAAGCTGCTGGTGGGGGTCATACACTTGACCTGGATTCATTTGATTAAACATCTGGCTCCAAGAACCAAAGATGCTAATTTAGTGTATATATCTGTATGTGTATAAGTATGCATGCATTCATGCATACAGTCATGAAAAAAGCACAGAAAGGGGAATGGGACAAGAAACCAAAGATTTGTAATAGCATTTTGGAGTGGAGGTGGAACAAATAAGAAAAAAAATACGCTTTGTAAGAAGCATTGAGACAGACCACCTCTTTGGGAGTGCATTCTTTTTGATGTTGTATGATTGCACAGATTGTCATGGAGGAAATCTGTGTGGTCACTAAGAGTCGACACCGACTTGATGGCACATAATCAATAACTGTACAGAGATGAAGATCTACACATGTACATAATGATGTCTGAAAAGAGCCCTTGCATACAGATGTTAGATGCCTAGAACTTCTGTGTATAGCCAGTGACCCAGAAAGAGCAGGAGCCTTCTTCGTTTACGCCGAAGTTCTTTTACACTTATCAGACTCTGGGAATTGGATGTTCAAGATCCCATTTCCCTTTCTTCTTCTGCATTCTGAAACAGGCTCGGTGGAGATACTCAGCACGTTTTTGCCTTTTGGTAATTTCCAACAGGAAGACCGGAGAATAGCAGACATGAAACAGTATCTTATAGAGGCTCAGCATACTGCTCTAAGTGTACAAGAGGAAATGATTGCAGTTTTTGTCTTTCAGAAATCCTCTCTGGGGGTGTCTATATTGGGAAGAACAAACAGTTGTGTCACGTGAACACAATTGATTGGGAAGACATCATCCGAGATCCAAAATTCCATGCAGTGGTCCATGACAATGGGGAGAAGTGTGAGTATTGGTCATCTGTTCACATCCCCTATAACTGGTCTTTCATTTACACAGGAGACTTTAAAGACTGGGTTCTTCTTCCAGATGAATGGCTTAGCCTTACCAAACTGGTGTCTTCCAGATAGGTTGGGATGGCAACTCCCAAAGTTGAATTAATAGCCACACTGCTGGTTGGGAATTCTGAGAGTTGCAGTACCAATACAGGTAATCCTTGATCTATGACCATTCGAAGTTATGACAGTGCTGAACGAATGGTGGTTACAACCAGTCCTTGGAATTTCGGCCATCCCATAACCCTGTGGTCACATTATTGTGATCTGGGTGCTTGGCAACCAGTTCTCACTTACAACTGGTTGCAGTGCCCCGTGATCACCATCCCTGCAGTTCCTGTTGCCATCATTAACCAAATCCCACAGTTGTTAGGCATGGCAACTTCCTGCTGGCTTTCCACAACCAAAGTCAGTGAGGAAGCTAGCAGGGAAGGTCATAAGTCGCTGGGGTAAGTCTCCTCCACCTGCACACCCCCGTGCACCCTTGCACACCCTCCCCAACTCATGCCACACCCTACACACCCTCCCTAACCCTCACTGCACTCTTGCGCACCCTCCCTGACCCTCGCTACACCCTCTCCAACCTTGCTGCACCCTCCCTGACCCACACTGCACCCTTGTGCACCCTCCCTGACCCTTGCTGTACCTTTCACGCACTCTCACACACCCCCTCGTTCCCTTCCCCACCTGGCAGCAGCCACTTACCTACCTGCCGGCCTGGGACTTGCAACTTCCTACCAGCTTCCCCACTGACTTTGGTTATGGGAAACCAGCAGGAAGTTGTCTTGCCTAACAACCATGCGATTTGGTTAATGACGGCAACCAGGACTGCAGGGATTGCCATAGCTAAGCAATGTGGTTGTGCTTTATGACTGCATCACTTAGCGATTGAAATTCCAGTCCCAGTTGCTGTCGTAGGTCGAGGACTACCTGTACATAGTTTAAGGTCTCTAGGTTGGGGAAAGTAGGTTTAATCTTTCAGGGAAAGTTTGGGGATTTGGGATGTATTTGGCCATTCAGTGCAAAATATTCCCTCTCCATATTAACCTATGGAATCAATCTTACCTGTATGCATCTTACCACCTCCCATCATTCTCTTCCTTTTCTCCATTTTGTAATCATTTATCAACAACAAGAGCTACCTGTAGCTCCTTCTCTCAGCCTTCAGAGGTAATTGGGAATGCTAAGGTCTTCTTAACACCTTCCAGTCCTCCCCTCTCCCTAGTTACATGCAACCATTGCCTCTGTTTTTCCTGTTGCCTGTATACTCTAGTAATCTTCCATCATGGAACTTGGGATAGTGACCTGGGCATCAGATATGCACGAGTTGATTCCATTTTATTTCATTCATAACAATCCTGGGATAGTCTGCCCTGACAATGGCCTGCCCCAGGGGTTTTGGAAGAGTCTCCTGGCTGGGGAAGAGGGTCAGCCCTGCTCACTAGATAAGCATCATTTAGATTCATTCACCTTTAGCCATTTTAAAATGATCCTTTTACAGATTTTAAAGGGTTCAACCTAAAGGTCCTATTGGTATAAGGCCAGCATTTGTCTTGCATGGTAAGCCTGCCTTTGATCCATCAAGCTCATCATCTCTGTTGTGATGCTGTGTGTCTTTTCGTCCACCCCCATGCAGGTACTCCATGCCATGAAAACTGCAACAGCCATTGTTGGGGGCCTGGTCCTGAGGACTGTCAAAAATGTAAGCATTACAACTATCTGGCATAATTCAGCTGTTGTCTTTGATTAAAAATTGGGACTCAGCATTTCTCCAGCCTTTTTAGGACTTTTTCTAACAGCGGTGTAGTTCTACCTTTTCAGCAAGATGAACAAATAGTGTTGAAGCCAGAAGCTTGAGGTGGTGATACATTACAACTTATGCCCATCATTGCCATGAACAGGAAAATTCCCTTTCAAGGCAATTGCTTGTAGGCTGTGCAAAGCATTTGAAAGACATAGTTCATGAAGTGTCTTAGCATAAGTGACATGTCCCTCCTTGAGGCAATAAAGCATCTGGAGATGGCATTCAGAGCAGCCACATCAGTTTTGCAGAGGATGGGGCTGCTTTAAGACTTCAGAAAGGGTGCTTCACTTTTGCTAGCTCACTTTCAAATGCTTTACCCAGCTCTAGTGACTTGTGGGGAAAAAAATACAAGCTTTGCACCACCTGACTCAGGGAAGTGGAAACAAACCAAACATCTGGCAATTTTAACCCTTTTGTTATGGCTGAGCTACTGTGACTTGGGAAGAGTTGCAAGGATCTGCAGCTAGTTAAACTAGTCCAGATCAATTCCAAGTAAGTTTTAAAATAGAATCAGAATATTCAGGCAACAAAATGGATGGTTGTCCGAACATGCCATTAAAATTAGTTTTTAGGTCTGGGACATCCCAACCAACGTGGGCAGTAGTGATGCTAGATGGGAATTCTGGGAGCTGTAGTCAAGTATTAATTGTTAATTTTCATTAAAAAGTTCATTTTTCATCAGCCAAGTGGCCCATGTACAGGCAGAAACAGAATCAATCCTGCTGTTTCAGAATGGTCCACTGTGTAGTAAATGGTTTTATTTAGTTGCTCTCAATTATGTATGTTCCCCACCTGTGGAAAACCAGTGCAAAAGCACCCTTTAAAAAAACATAAGCTGCAAATGCAACAAAGCCATCTTCCCATTCATGGCAATTCAGTGTCGTTTATTTACAGTAGCTCTGGGATTAGAGTTTGCTAAAGTTTGGTCTGAGCAGCATACTAAGGACAACATCCCAAAGGCTTTCACTTTTCATTATTATTTAGAAAGGTTCTGTGTTAAAGGTAACAAATCAGCATAAAATGTACTTATGTACATGCCCAAAGTCCTTGGATGGGAGAGAGAGAGAATGACTGAGTGCCACCTGGAAACTGACCAGCATTTTTTCTATCTCTACCGTAGTGACAAAGACCATCTGTGCTCCCCAGTGCAATGGACGCTGCTTTGGTCCCAACCCCAACGAATGCTGTCATGACGAGTGTGCAGGAGGCTGCACTGGGCCTCTCAAGACAAAGTGTTTTGTATGTAACCACGCCCATTTTTGGGGTTGACCCTCACAATTGCCAGAACCTCACCTGACAACTCTGCCTCTTTTTCTGCATTTGGGCTAGCTTCCTCATTTTTACTCTCTTGTCAGGATTGTCAATATTTCCAAAATGTCGTGCTATCTGAATCCTACTGCCTTCTCCTGGCTTCTGGAGTTTTGATGCCAGGGTCTGCCAGCCAACACCATCATCCTCTTTCCTAAATCTTTGCACTATTTTGCACAGTCCTGCCATTGCTCTAGTCCTTGAACATTGGGGCCTTTTGTTTTCATCCCAGAATCGATGTATCCCGCCTTTCTGCCTTGCCTGTGTTTCTTCCCACTTTTTCTCTCTTCAGTTTCCCTTGTCCTATAACCACAGTTTTTTGTGAGGTTCCAGGGATAATTTGAACCCTTGTTTTGCAATATCCCTCCCAAGCTTATGTCTCCCTTTGATTTGTTCAGGTTCTGTGTGTGCTATCAGGAGCAGTGGGGGAGAGTCTGCCTTTCATTAGGAGAAAGGTCTCTTGGCTTGGGATGATGGGGACAAAGATCTAATCCATCGTTCAGTGACATTCTTTCCTCCATCCCAGGCCTGTCGCCATTTCAATGACAGTGGAGCCTGTGAAACCCTCTGCCCTCAGCCAATGATCTACAACAGACTCACCTTTCAGCTGGAGCCCAATCCTGATGCTAAATACCAGTATGGTGGCGTGTGTGTCAAAAATTGCCCACGTAAGTGCCAGGTCATGAATACAGCAATACACTCACATGAAACAGAAATAGATTATATTCTTTGGGGCTTTTCCTTCTGCTCTGTGACCTTCTGTATTCCCTTTCCAAAGATGGAGATAGTCATCAGTGTTCTGTCTCCCACCATTTCTTTGATTCTCAACTATCCTACTCGCTAGCTACCCGTTTCTTACAACTTTATTTTTCCCACCCTTTATTTCACCTCCTCACAGATAATTTTGTGGTGGATCGGACCTCCTGTGTCAGGACCTGTCCCAATGACAAAATGGAAGTTGACAAAAATGGCCAGAAGATCTGTCAGCTTTGTGAGGGACTCTGCCCAAAAGGTATGAATGGGAAGCACTATCAATTTGGCAAAGAATTTTGAAAATATCCAACCACTGTTAGCCTAGGTTGTTGGAACAGAAAATAAGGTTGGAAGAGATATTGAAATTTTCAGCTTCCCATTTGCATGGGCCTTTCAAGTCTATCTCCACTAATCCCATATAAAGTCTGTGGATCAGAAGTGTTAGTTGTTACCATCTGGAATTAATAAATGTAGTCAACTTTATTTGATAGCCTATGGTTTAAAAAAAACATTAACTTATGATGGCTACTGATAATTAGCTGCTTTCACCCAAAAGCTCTTAACCTAGAGAGGGAGGAAATAAATATGTGATATACCATTAGGGACTTAATGTTTCGTTCATTTTGCTCAGCAAGGGCTCAGGTGAGCTCAGTTGGACCAGAAAAGATCACTTAGGTATTAAAATAACGTTTGGAGCATCCTGGATCAGTGCAAAATCTGTAAACCAGCCATGGGTTAAAGACACAATTCTTGGTAGAACTCATTAAGCTGTGGTTTACTTCTGTATGTTATATACAAAATATTTCTGCTTTAGACTGCTATCTAACCCTGATCGGTGCTCCGTTCTGTCTCAGTTGAGGTTGCATTTCTGGTCACGTTTCTGGTATTTTCTTCATTACCTACACTTATCATTACAGATCTCTCTGTGTACATGTGTCTTTATGTAGGGCAGTTGGTACCATCTTGAGGGCTTGATAAGATACTTCTTTTAAATATCCTATCACCTTACTGAAATGATAATGGTAATAAAATATTACGTAAAATAAGATCATGATGAATTTTAGTGGTAGAAGCTCTCTTCCATCATTTTTTGCATTTAAAAGTCATGGGAATATGGTAGGACAAATTCACCAGTGCACAAATCTATTCAAGGCTTGCTTGACTGAGTTTTGCCAAGCATTTTGATCTGCACGATATAGTCACAGCTAAGCTGTTGAAGACAAACATGATTTTCATTCTGACTTGGGACTAGATAATCATGACCATTACTTTTATGACCAATTAAAACATTGGTGACAAACATTTCTAGTGAGTTGGCTGTTTTTCAGGCGTTTTGAGTGCAGATATGACAGTCACAATATGCTGGCATAATAATGATAATGATGCAGTGTAAAAGTAATAATAATAATTGCTATGAAATCATGATCTGTTTAAAATACATCCCCGTGGCTTTTATTTCACATACTTGTCACTTGTTTTGTCACATACTCATATCTGAGTTTTCATAGGACGTGCATTGGATTTCACTGAATTGTGAGCCCACTCAGCCCATTTCTGTGGCTTCTTGAGATAGTGGGATCTCTCCAAAATAAATTGGACAAATCATTAATAAGTATTTTAACCTCTTTTAAGAGTAGAAATCCTATCAAGGCGGCTAACAGCAAAAAAGTTACACATACAGTAATAAAATTAATAATAAAATAGCTAATATTAGAAAATGATATTAGATATTAGGATGATAACATTTGCAGGCAACAGCAACCTAATATTCCTCTCCCTAATACTGTGCTTGGGGAAACTCTGATAAATTGATCCTTTTGATTAGAACACACACAAAAAAGCCCTTTAAAGCCCTTCATGGCATGGGACCAGGTTATCTGAGGAACCGCCTCGCCCCGGTCATTTCAGCCTGCCCCACTCGGTCCAGCAGAAGGGGAAGGTTGCAGACCCCACCAGTCAAGGAATTTCGATTGGTGGGGTCTAGCCAGAGAGCCTTTTCTGCAGTAGCGCCCGCCCTATGGAACATC